TTATTTATTTATTATTTATTTGTTTGTGTGCCTGTTGTTGGGCAGCCACCCAGTCCCTGCCTAGCAACCTCTGGCACCCACAACATTTACTTAAAGGACTCTTCCCACATCCAAGGGCTTTCCTCACGCCTCGCTGGCCACCCCCGACCCCAAGTCCTCTTCCCACATCCCAGGGGGACTCCGGGCCTCCCTGCTTCCCCCAGACTCTTCTGTAGCTCCTGCCATTTGCCTCTTGGTGTCTCCATTTCCCTTCTGACCCCAGGTTTGCCCTGCTGGCTTCAGGAGTCGCTGTCACTGTGGCTTCACCTCTGTTGATCTGTAATTGCCACCAAGCTGTTGGGCAAATGCTGTTGACATTTTTCAGGACCAGCTGCTTGGAGAAAGGAATCTGAGGACGGTTCTTCTGTTACTGAAACAGAATGTTTTCTCTTTCTGTTTCTGCCTACTTTCCTATTTCTCAAATATGCCTGTGCATGTCAAAACAGCGATGATCAGCTTGCATGAAATAAATTAGCTTAATACTGCTTGACATCACTATCTAGCTCATCCACCAAAAACACCTAAAGAGAAGGGTTGGTCTTGGTTTTGCTAGGATTTGCATTTTTGCTGGTTTGTTTTTTGGGCTTTTGGTTGGGGTTTTTATTTGGTCGTTGGTTGATTGTTGTTTTTAAAGGAGAGATGTTTTAAGCTCACCCTGCAGACCAGTGGCAGAGCAGGACTGGAGGCAGGAATCCTGAGCTCCCTCTGATCCCACTCCTCAATGGATCAGCCTCTTTCATGCTCTGGCTTTGAGACAAGTTGGGGCTGTTAAGCTGGAAAAGAGAAGGTTGTATGGAGAGGTCACAGCACCTTCCAGGATCTGAAGGGACCCACAAGGAAGATGGAGAGGGACTCTGCATCAGGAGCCGGAATGACAAGGAATAATGGGTAAAAATGGAAAGAATGGAAATTTAGGCCAGACGTATTAAAGAAATTTTTCCCTGTGAGGGTGGTGGGGCCCTGGCACAGATTGCCCAGAGAAGCTTTCTATCCCTGGCAGTGATCCCAGGCCAGGCTGGACAGGGCTCTGAGCAAGCTGGGACAGTGGAAGGTGTCCCTGCCCATGACAGGGTGGGGTGGAATGAGATGATTTTTGAAGTCCCTTCCAACCCAAGCCATCCTGATGTTCTAAGCCGAGTCTGTGGGAGCAGGCCACTGAAAAAAGGCATTTATCTCCCAGCTCTGTTTCTGTGTGCCTGCCAAGTGATAACTGGGGGGAAGAGGAGCCCGGCCCTCCCAATGCCCATTTGGTCCATGACTGACAGATTTATGATAGGCTGCAGTTTCCTCCGTTTGTGCAGCAGCGAGTGGCAGGGCCAGGCGATTGTGAGCCGGCCTTCCCCACGGAGAGCGCTTCCAGCTGGATCCAGGGCACAGGAAATGATCTAGCCAAAGTCTTTTGGTGACAATTAACACAATTCCTGCTGATAACGTTTTTTTTTGTCCTCTACTTCAGAACGTTTTTACAGCAAGCCCTAAGTGGCTGAGGAGAGGCACTGGAGGTGGGTGGTTACAAACATTTGATGAGTGTGTCATGGATAAGGTTCATTTCTGTTGAAAGTATGATTATTTTTTTAATCTACACCTCCTTAGTATTTTACTTGATGATCAAAGCAACACAAAAATTAATTTTTCTTCTGAGATGGTCAAGCCAGAAAACCCAGCCCAGTTTGGCCTCAAGCAAGGAAGAGATATTGTAAACTGCTTGTTTTGCCAAGAACAGGAAGGGGCTCGAGTCCTGGGGTCACCAAGGTAGCATCAGCTTGGGAGAATATGCTTAAACCCCCTCCCCCCACCAGTTTCTGTAATGCATTCCTGTGTGTGGCATCTCTCTTGAAAAGAGGGAAAAATAAATATTTATTTGTGGTTGCATGGGATTATCTGTGTCAAAGGAATGAAAACACTGGTGTGGGATGTTCTCCCTCAGAAAGTTTTAAGAGTTGCCTTAGATGATGGAATGTTTGAAACCAAATACCTTTCCTTAAAGCTTCATGGTCTTCAGATTTGAGGTTTTGTTTTTTACCATGGATGAAAAAACAGAACCTGAAATCCTTGGTATTGGTTGTTCTTGTAGAAAAGGAAGAGAAAAAAAATTTTTTTGAAGAGTTGATACACATGGGGATTAACCAGCTCTGTTTTCAGTAGATAAATTACAGCTCAGAAAATTAAATTTAAAGTGAGATTAATATTTGTCCTTGGGAATTTGACACCTGTAAGCAAAAAACCCTTTGTTTTGAGAGCTTAAGGTGTTGCTGTAGGCTTTGTGCTGGATTTATGCTTGAAGACTTCTTTTCTCCAGCAACTTTTATTGCCCTGGAGTCTCCAAACTGGAGTTTACTAGAGAAGGGCAAAAGAGAGTGAAGCTGGTGTTGTAAGAGGGGTCAGGATTTTTTGCTGGGTTGTTCATGTAGTCAGGAGCTCTTGCAATGAAGCGCTACATGGGAAAAGGCCTTTCCTTGCCTGAGGAGTGAGCAGAGGACAGGCAAAGTGCTTTTATCTGCTGTGCAGCTGGTTTGAATACTGACAGCTCGGACCTTTTGATCTGCCACAGCCTGGCTGCTGGTTTTGCCTGGGCAGGAGCAAGCCCAGGAGCAGAGGGGAGAAGGAAAACTGCAGTGGAAAACAGGCAAGTGATGAGACCATGGAAAATACAGTAAGAAAGTGTAGGAAAAAATGGACAGTCTGGAAGAGTCAAACATTGCAGTGGTACAGGAAAAGGGCCACGTCCTCATCTGTACTTCTGTGACTTCTGTCCAGAGGCAGCTTGGGCTTCAGCTAGAAAAGAGTGTTCTTTGTAAGTATGCAGAGATTTCAGTAATACTGGGGAGCAAAACACCTTCTAAGAGGAAGCTATTTTTTGAGCTTCAGAAATCATCTTGCAAGAATTCCCTCTGTGCTTTTACAAAAGTTCATGTGCTCCCATTTCCCTCCTCCACCTGTGTACAGGCAGGTGAAGAAGGGCTGGAGTCTTGCTTGTTTGGTTGACTGCAGTTTTGGTTTTGAATGAAAAAGTCTGCATAAATCTATCTGTGTCTCCTTGATATGCATTAGTGTTGGCCTCACAGCAGGCAAGGTGAGCACAGCAGCTCTGCCTCACCAGCACACAACAGGCATGTGAAAAATCAAGAGGAAATCTCTACCTTGAATCCAGGCCTGAAAGAAATTGTTCCCTCTGGGGGTGCTGAGGCCCTGGCACAGGGTGCCCAGAGAAGCTGTGGCTGCCCCCGCCCTGGCAGCATCCAAGGCCAGGCTGGATGGGGCTCTGAGCAAGCTGGGATAGTGAAAGGTGTCTCTGCCCATGGCAGGGGGATGGAACTGGATGATCTTTAAGATCCCTTCCCAACCTAAATTATTCTACAATTCTATGTAAATCCTAAATACTTCCACTAGACTCAGATGCTGCAGGGCAGGTATTGGGGACTGTAATACCTCAAAACCAGGGGCTCTGTGATCCCCTCGGGATAACTGGAGATGGAGCAGGCCTGCAAATGACTGTGTGCAGCAAGGTTGGTCCAGGCACTGCCCACAGGGTGAAATGATGCTGAAAATGATGTGTCAGCTTTGAAGAGAACCTGCTGGTGGGTGAGGGAAGGGCCGCTCCTGACTCAAGTCAAAAACCCCAATTCCCTCAATCCCCCATTTGCAGCACTGGCTTTTTAGAGCTGTGCTTATTGAGGAGCTGCTCTGTGATGAGATAACCACACTGTCTTTTATTTCATTGCCTGTTTTTTAAAGGAGGCTGACAATGTCTTGTCCTCACCCTTGGCTTGGTGGAAGAAGGAAGCTGAAAGAAGGAGGTGATCTGGCAAAGCCAACAGCTGCTTGTAGCGCTCCAGGCCTGTCTATGCACATCCTTGCTGCTGAATTCCTAGGGTTTCCAGAGCAGCTAGCCAGAATGCTGAAAAAGCTTTCTCTTTAATCTCTTGATCTCCACTGTGTGTTTTTGCCAGTGCAGGTAAAACAGAGGTGCACGCTCCACTACTGGTGTTTCCACCAGGGTAAACAGGAGAGTCTTGGTAATTACTGAGAACGAAACATCTTGTCTCTACAGCTGGTTCCTGGGACACAGGAGAGGGCAGGGCAGGCACACTTGACCTGCCAGGTATCTCCAGTGCCTCTCTCCAGTCAAACAAAAAGAAATGAGATTCATTCAGTCTTTGCTCCAGCTAAACTCCAACTCAAATGTGAGGGGAAGTTTTATCTGACAGTTTTGCTGGGAGTGGGGGGTGGGGGTTGCTGTGCTTTCGGGGATCCATTTGGTACACACATCCTAAATTCATCAGGTGGTCCTCCCCAGGCTGCAGCTTTACTTCAGGAGCTGGCAGGCCACAGCCCTTGGCATCACTTCAGCTCTCACTTGTGGTGTTACAGAAAATGGTGAGATGCTCCAGTGTTTGGTCAGGTCCACCCCTTGGAATAGGACACCACCTTTAATAACCCCAGAGAAGGCTCTACTGTTTTATTTTCTCAATTTTAATTTTAAGCAAAGAGACAACCCAGCTGAAAACCAAGAGGATGACATGATATTAAGGAGTGGAATTTGGCATGCAGGTTACAAATCATCTGAATCCCACTGCATGAAAATGTTCAACAATACTGCAGAGCCTGACTGCTTCCTCCCAGGCTTCAGCTGGGACTGAGGACAAATCCCAAGGAAAATTCTGTCCATTAGTAGCAACAAGACTCTCCCTCCATGTGTGTGTATATATATAAAAAAGAAGATATATAATATGTATATGTATATGTATATGTATATGTATATGTATATGTATATGTATATCTATATCTATATCTATATCTATATCTATATCTATATCTATATCTATATCTATATCTATATCTATACATATATCTATATCTATATCTATACGTATATCTATATCTATATCTATATCTATATCTATATCTATATCTATATCTATCTCCTCACTTTGCAAGCTGCATGCCAAACTTGTTGTAGCTTGCCTTATAAACTTAGACTTTCTAAACAAGTTAAATGGAACTAGGACCAGAAATAATAAAACTAGCTACAGCATAGCCATTTTTTCCAATATTGACAGGAGTGCAAGAATGGGGACACCTGGTGATTCACCTGGCTCAGAATCCTCTCCCCCAGCAGTGGCCAGAGGAGAGAGAGACAAGAGACAAGAACCAGGTTCGTGTGTTCGCAGTGACAAATCTTCCAGACAGTTCAGGGAACCCATGAACTGGATAAGGTGTGTCTGCTCCCCCATGATGTTCTACAAGCCTTGTCAGATTCTTGGGGGAAGGAGCCATGTGGATGTGCTGCCAGTTGAGCTTTTGGTTTGTTCTCAGAGTGGTTCCTCTCTGTGGCTTCACTCTGCATCTCTGAGCTGCATTATCAGAGCTGTACAAGCATCTGGAGATGCTTGTCTCCCTAAAGATCATCCACATGCCAGTCCTGGTGTGGCAGACTGCTGGAGAACATTTGTGCACTTTGTGTTGTGGGTTTTATTGTTGTGGAGGTTTTGTTTTTGTGGAGGTTTTGTTTTTGTTTGTTTGCTTGTTCTGTTTTTTAATGGAAGTTGGTTTTATCATGAGCTCTGCGCCAACTTTAGGTTCATGTGGTTGAATAGAGCCTCTGTCTGGTTTGCTCCTTTTTTTCTCCTGACAGGAGAAAAGTGTTAACCCTTAACAACCCCTGCACCACTTTGTTGCTGAGCACTGGGATATCCTGTTAGGGAGTCTGGAAAGGACATTCCCCCTCTTCCAAGGGTTTAGCTGGCTGTAGCCCAAGAGAGCTCCCCAGCAAGAGGGATTTGAGGAAAGGCTAGAAGAAACATCATGTCTCATCCTCCCAGGACAAACATGATTTGGAGTGAGTTCCTGTTTCTAGACACCTCAGCCAGTGTAATTTTGGGCTGGTCAGAGACAGAGCAGTTTTTGGGAGCTGGGAAGGAGGAGGGAGCTTCATTTTTAGGCAGTCCTTGGATCTGCAAGAGGTTTCCTATGTAAGTCTGTGTATGTAGGATTCTCATCTGTTGAGCAGGTAGCAAATAAATGTAATTGAGCACGAGGAGTGCAATTATTTGGACTTTGTCTACACTAGGAATATTCTCCAGCTGGGAGTTAAGAATTTTTTCTCTTCATCTTCATCCATGTTTGAGGCCAGGTGGTTTTGGATGGATGAGGCAGCAAATTTGAGGCAGAGGCTGGAAGCTGACTCCTCAAATGCAATGCTCAGGTGTTTGGTGAACCAGGGGATACTAAATTACCACAGAGCCTATTTACCATCTTAACTGGCCACATCTTAGAGGATATGCAGCTGTTAGAAACAAATGGCGTTGAACCATCATCAATAAATGCTGTAAAGTGAGTGGCACAAGCCAAATTATTTTCCACTCCAAGTCATATTTGCTTCCCTTTTTCTCCTGTCTCTATTCCAAGCCATGACTAGTAATGCCTCCCTCTCCCAAACAGCTGTCACATAAGTGTAATGTCAAGGCTTGTTGCAGAGCAGTCACAGCTTGCCCGTCCTGCCTGCCATCACCTCCCTGCAGGTTTGGAGCTGCTGTCTTACCCCCAGTACTCCTGGGAGGAAGCACAGAAGCGGCTCCTTTGTGGATGTGGAATTCTCATGGTTCTGCAGGTCCAGAAGCAAGGACCTGTGCTGTGGAGCTGGTGGGCTGGAAAAGTGAGTGCCAGGAATGTAATTGTCAGTTTGTTTGTGGGTTTGTTGCATCTCACTGTGAAGGTGAAGCAATGATGCCTTGTGGGACATCTCTCTGGTTCTGCCCTTGGTTTCATGCATGCAGATTTGGGAGGGAACAGAAAAAAGCCCAGCACAAAACACTTTCATATCAGTAAACACAAAATACTGTGCAAAAGTTGAACTTACTCCTGTTTTGGAGACTGGGGGGATCTTCAGACATCACAACACCCCTAGGGGGGATTGTGTGTGATACTAAAAAATAAATTAGGAACCTCATGTTGGGGCAATTACTCTCCCCATCTTGGGGAAATTTCACTTCAAGCCCTTCGCAGTGGTGTTACAAAGCATAATTATATGACTTGAGGTGCTGTTAGATAGATGCAAATCTTCTGGGTATGCTATCTCTCCATTTAATCAGTTATTTGTTTGCCATTTGGGTACAGAAAGTACTTTGTTTAAAAATTAGCTGAATACAATTCCAGTAAGAACATCAGTGGGAAATAATGAAAAGCAGCTGATTTACTACTAGTAAAGAGCATCCAAGAGCTCCCTGGTGCATCTCATTTACTCTGAGATTTATGCAATACACAGATAATTCCACACACAAGCAAGCCATGCATAGCTCCTTGTGTCCTCTGTTTATGCCCATTTATCTTTAACTTTGTTAGAAACACAAAAGCTGCCTCCTTTATTTGCTGGGTGTTCCCTTTCATTTGAATCCTACTTTTCATTTTTTGTGGATATCTCTTTGCTGTTAACATTGTTGTGTGTTGTGTGGTACACTGGCACTTTTCTGGAAATGGGTTGTAAAAATCTTGCTGCAAGTTCATAGATTTTGTTCAGGGAATGCAGATCATCCTTGCAGCAGTGAGCTGATGAGTGATGATGAGGAGTTTGTCAGCAGCAGAGTCTGTGTGTGCACACATGGGAGTCTGGGATAGAGCAGTGGGCACCACAGCCAGGTGAGAAACTTGAATAAAAGCCCACTGAAAATGGGGAATGTTTTTCTGCCTTTCAGGGGCTGAACAATATGTGCACTGATTTTTCCTTATTCTTTCACAGCCCTCACCTGAGGTCACATGTAAAGGTGAAATTGCTGCCTGGTGCATGTGGGATGTGCGTTGTGCTGAGCTCCTAATGACTGGCAAGGGCTCTGAGGTGGAAGAATAAATATTCACTGTGAAGAACAAATGCCAATTATTAGCGGGCATCTGAAGGAAAGCAACTCCTTTCTCTGCAGAGTAATGTGTGCTTTCCTTTTAGAGGGAGATGAGGGATGGGTACCTGCCAATAAGCAGCAAACACTGCCCTTCCCAAAGTCCTGCACCTCCCACCTGAAGGAGATCACTCTCTGCCACGTGTGTGACAGCCTTTCAGTAGGGGTTGTCACCTTGCAACATAAACCCTGCCAACTTAAGCATCAATAGAGGAATCATGCTTCCATGCTAGATGTGAAAATAGCAACAGAAACTTTAACACAAAATGAACCACAGCAGTCCCTCCTGGGGTTCCTCACCATGTGCAGAACTTGTTGGAGGAGAATTCACCACGGAGGAATATCCTGCGCCTGACCTGCCATAGCCTGCTCCCTCTGGGCTCTCTGCCTCCACTTCTGTGGAGTTTCTGAGCAGCTGTTTTGATGAACAGATATTGCAGGTGATGGGGATGATCTGTGGTAAGAACCTGTTAATTCGAATTTGTCTGTAGAGGATACACCAGTCAGTCAAGCCTGCATCCTCCTTTTCCATGGGATGGGTTTAAAACAAACATCCTCTCCAAGTCCTGTTGTATCCCCGAGATTTAAAGTGTGGGATCCAGCAGATCCTAGTGGCAGGATTTCTTGGTGGTTTGAGCATTAACTTGGGACCTGGAGACACTACCACTGTTCTTTGGATTCATCATGTAAGCTTCTTTCAAAAAACATTTGAGATTCAGGGAGGAGCCTCTCAGATTTAAGATTCAGATAGGAGCCTCCCAGATTTTCAAAGGCAGATAGCCAAGCTAAGAGCCAGTGTCTCACTGATCTCTGCAAGTGCTTCAGCTGGGTCACAAAATAGATAAATCTTCCTATCTGCCTGCTTCTCAGTGACTTAATTCATAAATATCTTCCCAGATCTCTCAGTTCTTCCATTCCTCATCTGTGCTGTACCCTACTCAGCTGATTAATAGTTTGCTTTCTCACATGGGGTTTATCAAGATATGTTCATTAATGTGGTTTCATTAATTATGTACGGTGGGAACCGGGGATAAACCAGTTTTTCGGATGATATGGCCAAGAGGAAACTTTTATCTCTCAAAATACACTGAAAGATTTTGGTGCTGGGGGAGGGCTGCTTTTCTCCATGGCTTCCAAAATGCCCTGTGCTCGCTGTTCATAGCTCATGTGCATGATCCAGGGGCTGGAAAGGAGGAATGAAGACATCAGGAAGCAGCAGCAGCCAGACATGACCTGTCCCTGCCAGGGAAGGATGGAGTGGCCTTGTGGCTGTTGCAAAGATTGAAAACCGGAGGTAGAGGGATGATGGGGAGGAAGAGCTGAGTGAGGAATAAATGAGAGCTTGGCAGCATGTTCTGGGAGCAGGAGTGGGCTCATCCCAGCACGGGAATGCTGCAGGAATGGTGCCTTGCTGGTGTTTTCACTGTCACAGAAATGGCATCGAGGGCCAACCACATCCTCTGCCCCCTTCCCCGTCCTGCAGGGGGGTTCAGCAGTGTCCTCACAGAAGCATTTGCCTGTTCCCCTTTTGCTCTAGCAGCCAGCTGCCAGGGAGGCAGGCAGGGGATTTCTGCAGCCTCTGGTTGCCACGAGAAGTGTTTTTCTCCTAGATGTCAGAAACCAAATTGTACCATGAGGGGAAAACTGATAGAAATCAGCGTTTTCTCCCCTCTTTGCCTTTACACCCTCATTTTCACATTAATAATCTCTCTAATTAACTTGTGGGTGAGTGCCCATCCTGTCTGCCCTGATGTGATCCACTCCTGTACCTCGTGAGCCTGTCCTTGGTGCTTGCAGCTGTTGAATAAGGAGTGTGCACCAGGCAGGACATCTCCTGTTGGTGTTTTTATGTCCTTACCACTGAAGAGGTGGCAGTTCCCAGCCTGGTTGTGAAACAGAGGTGCTGATTGTGCTGATGTCAGAGGGCAGGCATCACTTCTATGTTACCCATCTGTTTTCAACCAGCACCTTAATATCTCTGCAGATCACCCAGGAGATAATGTCAAGTGTAGTGCTAAATGTACCCATGTGCATTTTAAATGTTGGGCTTTACGATCTCCAGCAGTTTCTTCGCCTGTGACATGGTAACAATATACATTTCTTCTGTTCCTTTAAAGTAAAATCCAGTTTCACTGGTAAAATAATTCATCTGCTGCTAAATTTTCATTTCTTGGGTTGACAAAATAGAAAAGGTGGGTGATGGTTCTGCTTTTTTAATGTACTCGTTTGTGGTTAGCTATGGATTAGTTAAAATCTAAATTCCTAAACACATTCATATTTCTAACTTCTACTGCTGCAGAGATGCAAAACATCTTGCAAGAGCTGCTGAGAAACAGGAGGTCATTTCACTGATTTAGGTGAAGTCCACTGAAAAAAGGATTTATTTCATCAAGCATCCGCATCACGGATCTATTTAAATCCTATGATGCCGGAGGATATGAAATTGCATGTCTCAACTTTTCAGGATTCAGCTGTTCTGCTAACTTTTGTTGTGCTTAAGGAAGACACTCAAATGAGGAACATATTTAAAAACTACCCACAAAATAAAAGCAAACAACCCCCCCCAGTTCTCAGGGACAAGGCACGAATATAAAGCAGTTTTTTTCTGACTCATGTCTTACACCTTTAATACAATGTTAAATAATGGTAGGGGACAGAGGCAAATGCACAAGGCATTCCTAAATGAAAAAGCAAATCAGGTATTTTCATCTGATTAGTATGCAGGTTTCTTTTATCTTTTTTTTTTTTAAGTTCTAGATAAATTTAGCAGTTCAGCATATTCAACATACTTTTAGATAAGATTTTTGTTTCAACCCACTGCATTCTGGATGGGTAGGAGGAGAGAGACTCCAGTCTGGGGAATCCAAACGTGCTGTAATGTTTTGATGACGTTCATAATTCCATATTAATTTATTAAAAAACACCAAAATTGTTTCTCTTTTCTTATTCTTACTCCAGCTCTCATTTCCTGGTCATAGCTGGGCTGAGATGACAGAAACACTTTGAGAACATCGCCCATATAGGGCACTTCCTTCAACTAAGCACAAAATCAGTTTGAAATATTGGTGGTGTGAATATCAAATCTTGGTACATATTTGCCATCAAAGACATTTTCTGTCTACTTGGAATCACAGCCCAGTCACTTGGCTGTGCTAATTAAATAATTCCATAGTGTCCTGGAAAGTAATCTGCATTTGGCAGAGGTAAAAGTAGAAATGAACTTGGAAAGAGCCAGCACCAATCAGAGATGAGGGCATGCAAAGCTGAGACAGGCAAAGAGGATTTCTTAGACCTCCCCATCCAAAAAATCCCTAGATAGAGTGGCCAATAGAATTCCTGACCTCTAATTTTCCCTTCCAAACACATTTCTGAGAAATATCAATTATTGGGGTCAGGGAGAGGAGTGATGGCTTTAAATGGGCTTGAATGTCTCCAGACCTCCCTAAATTACTTCTCTGGAAATGCAGTGGCAACTACCCAAAGCCTGTTGACTTGTGTTCCCCTCCCTAAAATGGTATTTTCAGTTTATTTACCCATCTGAAAGCTAGAATGGGCCTGAGATGAAGATATGTGGCCCCTGCTCTCATGAGGGAAGACCAGTTCTCCTGAAAAAAAGCTGTTTTTCCTGATGTTTCCTGGCCTGAGCATGGACCAGAAAGAGAAAAAGTCACTTCATCCCAAGGTCAGAAATGCTGGTGTGGCCTAGGAAGGATGGCCTGGTGGCAGCTGCGTGAACAAAACGAATCAGTTTCCCCCCCTCCTCCTCTGGTAATATTTAATGTGCCCCAAAAAAGAAAAAAGCTGTCCACAGCCTTCTTTTTTTCACTCTAAACATGGCCACTATGCTGGTGAAAGGAGACAATTCTGGCAAAAAAAAAATAGAGCTGTATTTATTTTGCAAAAGCTTTTTAGAAAGGAAAAAAATTGTTGATCAAAAAAACCATCAAAAGCACAAGGCTTTTTAAGCAGTCCTGAAGTGTAAAGCTTCCCCAGGTTTGAAGCATCTTTCCTGAGGCTCTGCACAATAAAATTAGGAAAGGTAGGGAGGTATTCCTCAGGTATGCTTTCCAAGCTCCATGTCTGCAAATAAACTGTAGCCATGCAGAAATTACAGATTTTTTTTCACTTTAGTTAGTTGCTAGCAATTGCCACTTTATCCAGCTTGGAAATATAGCTTCATTTTTTTAGGCTTCTTACTAGAACTGTTGTTTTTCTTAGACTTTACTGTGGAAATTTTTGCAAAAAGTTCTCAATTTTGGAATTGAAAAAAAAACCGCAACATTGAGTTCATGTGGAATATTGCTTGCATGGTTTAAAATATATTTATTTTAAATAACTGCTGTATATTGCTGATCTATATCCACACTGTAGCCACTGCCATTGCCTCAGCCAGTATTAATGAGAGCACTCAAAACAAAATTGCCTTTTAATTACAGTCACTGTCCTCTCTAGGAGGCTTTTCCCCCCCTTTTATGGCGATGATTCACATTTTCCCCCTGTGTTTTCAGGTTTCTGAAGTCTCTGGACAGCTGGCAAAAGAGAAAATTCAAACAAGGTAAGTGCCCCTTTCTGCGTGCGGTAGGGAAAGGCTTCGTTTTGTAGCAGCCAAGCAGCACAGGAGCCCCAGGAGACAGTGGCTGATTAACAAGCCCGTGGGGGCTGGCAGGGAGGACTGCAAGGTTGGAAGCAAACCCGGTGTAGCCGCTGGCACTTGCTCCCTGCAGAATAGTGAGTTCATTTTTGTGCGCTTCCTGACGCCCGCTCTGCGGTCGGGAGCTGATAGAAGGCAACGCTTCAACTTCCTGAACCCTCTAAATAAAGCATCCTTTCTCTAGGGGTTGGTTTGCTTGGTTTGGTTGTGTTTTTTTTCCCCCCCAGAGAAAGGCACATTGTGCTTTCTGCTTTGGTTGGATTTTCGTGTTTGGCTCTTTGAATGGACAGCTTTGGTGGTGGAACAGTTGGAAACTGATTCCAGAGAGGCTCGAGTGTATGGCAAGGGGAAATATCTTCACTGGAACGGCTTGGAGCAGCTCTCAGGAGTTTATTTACATAGCTGCTGTGTCGTGCCACAGCTACAAGGGTGGCCAAGCTTCCTCTTTAATCTAAACTCCTTTTGCTTAAGGTATTAATTCACATTAATAGCTTCAGTTTTCTTTATTTCTAGGTTTGTTTCTTTCAAGAGATTATTACGGCAAGGCAGTGATTATTTAAATACTTGAATTAACAGCTATATTAGCTCTTGCATTTCAGATGTAGCAAAGAGCAAGTCAGACAGCCTCTGTCAGTTCCTTCACACCACAATGTGACCCAGTGTGCCTGGACAGTGAGGATGCAAAGCTGACACCCAATTCCTAGTGAAAACCCCAAGAGGTTGTCTGCAAGAGGTGTTCATTTTCTGATGTTAAGAGAAATGTGTTTCCCTCCAAGGGAAAGTCTTTTACAAGACAAGGTGTTAGGAATTGAGCTGGAATTTCCTGTTCCTACCTAAGCCAGGTTGAATGAAGTAGGTAAACCAGCACTGAATGCTCCATATTCTGGTTTTCTCATTATTCTCAACCAAGTAATGACGCTTATTTTGCATGATTCACTGCTTTATTACGTTACTAAATCACATTTATCTCTGTCAGGCCTCTTTTTCCTGGAGTATTCTGTTGGTGTAATTTTTTTTTAACCAAATGTTTGATATTTTGTATGGCTCCAACACCAACATATTGTTTGAAACAACATCAGAAAGAGTTAACTCCCACAAGGAGAAAAAAGGGAAAATGAGTCCCCACAGCTGGCTATCTCTCAAGAAATCAGCTCCTGCTCTGACGTTTGCTACAGGCAAAGTAAAACAAAGCTCTACCAGCAGTAAATCAACTCCTGTGTGCGGGTACTGTCAAAATGAGCTGTTCTGGAGCTCTCTGAACCAACCCATGGGCCAAGTCACACTGATTTTGTACATCCCAGCGTTTTGAAATGCCACTGTGCTCAGGGAAGAGCTTGGCTGGCTCAAATATGAACATCCACCACATAATGGGTGTCTTCAGCTGCTGAGGGAAACTTCATTGGGTGCCTTGAATAACCAGGCCTTCCTCAAGTAAGCTGTTAATTGTGCATTGCTTGAGATAAGTTTATTAAATATACTCCAGCTACAGATGGGCTTTAAAATCAGAGCTGGATTTTAAACACCAAAATGTCTGGAATGGTTTGTTCTCTCTTTTTATTTTTTTTTTTCACTCTTGTCTATTAAAAAGATAAGAAACAAACCCAAAGCTTTGGGTCCAAACTTTCATATAGCTTCATGCTAAAGCTCTGGAGTGCCTGCCTGGATTTTGGCCTGCTCCCATCTACATCTATTGTATAAAAACAGTTAAAGGCATTCTTCAGTTCCCCCATTCCCCCTGCAGCTGGAAGGCACTATCCTCTGCTCTCGAGAAAACAAACATCAATGCTGCCTGTTGTGTAAGCCTCTGGTTGGTTCAGTTTGCTTCTCTGGAGTGGCCCACATATCTGTAACTTCATCCAACAGGGAGGCTGTGTAGGTGCGAGATTAAAACCTTTCCAATCAGACAATTTTCAAATGCACAAAAAGCTCAGCTTCTGCCCGGAGCCTCCCCTGTTTAGACAAGGTGAGCAGGAAATTCAGACACCTTCCTGAGATGCAAGGAGTGAAAAAGGAGCAGGAATAGGATGACATTGGCCTATTTAACTCAGTGAGGTTTTGGAGTCTGAGGGCTCTCTAATATAGTGTATTTTCACACCTAAGGTGGATGCTTAGTGCTGCAATGAGGTGTTTGTGTTGAACTCTCTGTGGATAAGCTGTCTCTCCTCTATGCCTCAGCACTGGAATGAACACCAAAATCTAGCACCTAGACATGAAGGTGAAATTTCCCTGCATTAAAATATAGTCAAATACTTCTATAAAGAGACTTAATGTCAGAGTACCACTGCAGGAATTGCTTGAATATTTTCTTCTCAGACAATAAGTAATAGACAGAAATGAGAGTTGTTTTGTAAATTTTTACAGTTTTACAATGTACAGAGGAATATGTGCACCAGGGCAGTCTGTCAGCACCAGCTGATGATTCTTGCATCTGGGTCCTGTTTCACAGCAAAGCTTGTATTCCCAGCTTTGGAACAAAAGATTACCAGAGATAACTGATGGAAAACATATCCCAGTTATTGACTAAGCAGCCTTACCTTCACCCTGCAGCTAATTACAAGGTTAAAAATGTAGTAAAAAGGTCCATATTTATCCAAATTACCCATTTGAGGTATTTCTGCTCCAGATAAATGAAGCAATATTCCATTATAATCTCTGGCCCTGTTTTATCTTTTTCTATGTAGACTTGTTATGACAAAATCTCTTTCATTTTAATTAAATTTTTCCAGATACCATCTTCATAAAACTAGCACTCAGAGAGGCATAATCATTATTTTTAATAGAAGAGAGTTCATACTTGTTAAAAACGCTGGAAGATTGTCACTACTTATGTTTCCTGTCTCCAAGGAAAAGAAGAGCAAGTGTTCCTCAGATCTGCTTTTCCAGGCTGATCTTTCTACCAGTTTAAGACCTGGTCTCCAGAAGTGGGTAAGTGCTGGCTTATTTTGAGCATACAAATCACCTGAGATTATTAGAGTGTTTCAAGGGCACAGGTTTAAAATGAAGCCTAAATACTTGACTGCCTTCAGAAACTGCTGATTTCATAGGACTCCTTTTTAGTTAACAGCTTTCTCTGCTGGGATTGAGATTTCCAGTTCATTCCATGTTTATCACTGGAGAGCTACGAGGTGGCAACTGCACCCAGCTGCTGGCACCATCCAGCCTGAGCCAAGATGGACAAATCCAGGAGAATGCAGCCTGTGCCTTGATTTCCTTGTGGGGGAAAAGGAGCAAAGAGGACTGCAAGTGTAGGACTCCTATCAGTTTCCAGCTTTGCCATGGCAAGCATATGCCAAATATTTTCTAAAGTGACCCAAATTAACCTTCTTGTAGTGGCAAAACCTGTGGGCCCCTTTCTGCCCATGCAGGCAGAGCTGTCAAGGACACAGCAGTCCTGCCCTGGTGCTGACAACCCACAGGCATGTCTCAGGTGCCAAAGGACATTTCAAACAGCCCCAATAACCTGTGTTTAGGCAACAGAGCTGTTCCCTCCTGACAGAATGGTCCCAAATGGGGCTTTGCTCCTGGGCACACCAAGGACACACAATCCTGCTGCTTGGCCAAGTTCTGAAGTTCATTCTCAGGAATACTCACACTGATCTAAGGCATGCCAGGATTTCATTTACTGCTGGGAAATGTGAAACCGCTCTGGCTAAAGTGTCTTAATTAGGCCATTAGATCCTGGTATAAAATGGCTGAGATAAACAGGGTCAGGAGGGCAAAGGACATTGTCAGTGCATTGTAAAGCCTTTGCTGCTCAGCTCAAGCTGTCCAGAAGCACATTTCCATGAAATAAAACCCGGAGCCCTCTGTGTGGTGGCTCCTGGAGGGCCCTGGGTCAATGCTTTTCACCTAGTAAGCACGTGGGCAGGGAGCCAGAGCTTCTCTGTCCTCTGGTGCCTTGTGCTGCTTGGACTTTCAGTTTCTAATTCTGCTGTGTTTTAACTTAGTCCAGCCCTGGGGTTTGCTGCGTGTTTGGGGAAGTTTGAAGGGCCTCATCTTTGGTTTTCCTGTCCAAGGGCTGGATCCTGAATGAGGGCTCTGGCACCTGTCCTCTTCATATGGCTTTTCCAGGAAGGATTTAACAACTGTGGTGACTCCAGGAGACTGAGCTGGAAGAATCTGGGGAAGTGTCAGATCTAGGGCCTACATTTGTGTGTACACAGAATCCCAGGATGGTTTGGATTGGAAGGAACATCAAAGCCCACCCAGTGCCACCCCCTGCCATGGGCAGGGACACCTTCCACTATCCAGGGTTGCTCAGAGCCCCATCCAACGTGGGCTGGGATGCTTCCAGGGACGGAGCTGCCACAGCTTCTCTGGGCAACCTGTGCCAGGGCCTCACCACCCTCACAGGGAAGAAATTATTCTTAATATCCAATCTAAACCCAACCCTTTTCAGTTTAAAGCCATTCTCCCTTCTCCTATCACTCCATGCCCTTGCAAAAAGTCACTCCAGCTTTCTTGTAAGCTCCCTTTAAGTACTGGAAGGTGATATAAGGTTTCTCCAGAGCCTTCTTTTCCACAGGCTGAACAAATTCCACTCTCTCTGTCTCCATAAGAGGGGTCTTTGCTAGCATTTTTGTATCCCAGTGGGTACAAAAGAAAGGGGAAAATACAATATATTCACCATAAAAGGGCAAAAAGGGACATCTAGAATGGCATAACATACATCTAGATGCTAAGACCCTTTTTTTTTTTAATTTGGAAACTAATAATTTCTGATCTCAACAATTTATGCTCAGAAGTGCAATAAGGTTGGAAGTTGTAGATTTGACAGACTAAATTGAAGTATGAAAGCCTCAGCTTGTTACTCATTACTAGCAGTCTGTACACTCCTGTGACTAGATCAATATTCTTATCATTTAAAAGTTAGTACTTGATCAGGCCCTTTTTTATTTTTTTATTCCAAACAGTATATTTTTTTAATACAGTGGTTAACAAATACTATTATTGCGTTTGCTTGTAATTTGGAGAGCTGTCTCAGGTGAATTACACCTGAAAAATCATAGAAAGTATATAGTTTGATTCTTAGAACTGTTAGTGAAAATCACATGTCTGCTTAAAGAATGCATAGTGTTTTTAATAAGAAGATTCTCCTGCTGGGGATAGCCTTACGTAGGAACTGAACACTTCTATCCCATACTGAATGTGTGGTTTGATGGGCTGGTCCTTGTTTTGGGCAGAGAACTGAAGCAGAGTGGCTTTGTGCAGCCCCCCTGAGCCCCTCTGGCCACCAAGGCATGGCCTGAAGCCTCTCTGGACACCGTGCTCTCTTCCAGCTGGGTGTGTTGGGGGAACCCTGGCAGGGCCTGGGCTCTGCTCCAGGGCCCAGCAATGGCACCAGAGGAACGGGCAGGGACTGAGGCCAGGAGGTTCCACCTGGGCAGGAGGCAGAACTTCTGTCCTGGGCAGTGACTGAGGACTGAACAGATTGAACAGAGAGGGTGTGGAATCTTTGCCATTTGAGAACATTCCAGAACCATCTGGACACAATCCTGTGCTGTGGGATGGCGCAGGGAGATGGCACCAGCTGACTGACCCACTGTGGCCCCTTCAGCCTGAGCCATCCTGTGATTCACTGCAGCACGCTCTGCTTCTCACTAAAAGCAGTAACTACAGGACTTGTGGTTCCTGATGTTTGCAAGCCACCAAACAGAGGGTGACACTTTGGGCGACCACACCAAGCACACTCTCTCGGCTGTGGGGAAGGGTCGCCGTTCCCTCACGCCCCCTTGTGTGGGCTCCCTCAGCCGCTGCCCCAGC